TAGGGTTTAGGGTTTTGAGGTTTTGGAGGATTTAGGGCTTTAGAGTTGTAGAGTTAAGGGTTTTAAGTGGCTAGCGTCGATTTCAAGCGTCTTTCGACACCTTTGTCAAGTTGAAAGCGCCGCGGAGCCTTCGAGTACACCGGTTTAGGGTTTAGGGTTTAGTTTAGGGCTGAAGGAGTTTTTGGCTTTTACGGCAGGGTGTGACGTTTATAGGTTTAATTATGCGCTTGCACCCCTGGCCTTAAACTGTACGGATCAGTACCCTAAACCCTAAACCCTAAACCCTAAACCCTAAACCCTAAACCCTAAACCCTAAACCCTCAACTGGGGTTAGAAGACCTTAGAGCAGCAGTTACATTGTTTGCAACAGAACCCTATACCCTAAACCCTAAAAATTCCCGTGACCGTTTAAGAAGCACTGAGCTCTAAACCCTAAACCCCAAACCCCAACCCCTCAAACCCGAACCTTAAACCCCAAACCCAAAGGCATAAACCCCGCAAAAAAAAAACTGAACCCTGAACCTAAACTCTAAACTCCTAAAGAACAAACCCCTAAAATCTTTCCAAAAAAAAACCCAAACCTCAAAATGCTAGAAAAAAACATCCAAAATAAACCAAACCTCAAAATCCTACAAAAAATATCCAAAAGGACGCTGCCAGGCGACGACCACCGGATCGCACTCGATGCTCACGAAGGCAGCCATGCCTCAGCTTGGGGAGCTTTGGAGCTTTTTTGGTGTTGGTTAGGGGTTTAGGCGTTTAGGGTTTAGGGTTAAGGCGTTTAGGGTTTAGGGTTTAGGGTTTAGGGTTTAGGGTTTAGGGTTTAGGGTTCAGGCGTTTAGGGTTTAGGGTCTAGGGTTTAGGGTTTGGGCGTTTCGGGGTTTAGGGTTTAGGGTTTGGGCGTTTCGGGGTTTAGGGCTTTAGGAGTTTAGGGCTTAAGGGTTTTAAGGGGTTCAGGGGTTCAGGGGCTTCGGAGTTTGAGGGTTCGGGGTTTAGGGTTTGGAATTTAAGGGCTAGGGCTTAGTACTTGTAGTTTAAGGTTTCGGATTCGGTTCGAAGGTTGCAGGTGTCAGACCTAGGGAATTTAGGCTGAGGATCGCATTTAGGCTTGGGCTTTTGAGGGTTTGGGGTTTAGGGTTTGGGCTAGGGATTGATAATTTAGGGTGTAGGGGCGAGATGTGAGTTGCGCGAAAAGAAAAAACATCCGACCCAGCAGCTCTTGGAAAAGAACCTGAGGCTCATAGGTACCCATCATCCTGACGAGTTGCAGCTCGGGCTTAGTTTAAGTTGTTTCTTAAATGGCAACCCTAAACCGTAAAGCCTAAACCCTAAACCGTCATCGTCGCCTTGAGGGGGTTTGAGCCCGCAGGTCTCGAAGTTCAGCCTTCCGTCACCGTAGTACTAGTCCCTCCAGTCCCAACTGCTGTCAGCCCTTTACGGACAAGCAAGGAATACCTACCAACTGCCCTGCCATCCAGACCATCTGTAAGTAAGATCCCACGAAACCCTAAATCCCTAAACCCTAAATAGCTATTTAAACCCTGAACCTGCCAACCCTAAACCCCTAAACCCTCCACCCCTAAACCCAAAACCCTTAAACCCTAAACCTTAAACCCCGAAACCCTAAACCCCTAAACCCCTAAACCCCTAAACCCTAAGCCCTAACCCGAGACCCCCAAACCTTAACGGATCGGGTCTCAGAGTGTGTGGGCATGAGGCTTTGAGTTCGCCAGCTCCGAACTTGGACTCCAAGATTGAGGGTTAGTTTGGGATTAGGGTT